AGGCTGACGTCAGCCATGGCGGACGCGGTGGCACGGCAGCTCTATGCTGGCGATGTGAAACCAGTAGAGCTTAAACAAAAGATCCAGGAAGCACCAGTAGCTCACCCCGAATGCGTTGAAGCAAGGAGCGAGGTCGGAGAAGCAACGGAGAGGCGTGACGACTTCCACGGTGATCACGGCGGAGCAAAGATCGTCGGTGAGGGAGAACCGGCGACTGCAGTGATCAAAATGAGCAAGCAACAAAGGATTAAGCACCACAGCATCGAGACGAAGCCGTAGGTACACTGATCACGGGCAACGGCTCACCGGAGGATGCTGGCCGTGGAGAAACGGAATCTTGGGTGAGGTGACCGGCCGCGAGGAAGAAAGCGATGAACGGCGAACTCACGGCGAAATCAATCGACCAGAGCTACCTGGCCGGGTGCGCAAGGAGTAGGCGAAGCTATCTAGCGCTATGCCGCGACGGTGAAGACACTACCACGACGGTGCGAGCTCGCCGGAGATGAGCAAGGCGACGGGAAAACAGAGGAGGAGGAAACGGCAAAGACGACGGCGGCTCAGGTTATAAAGGATGGCCAGGAAGCGCAAGGAAGCCACGGCGAAGTCATTTCCCTCGCCAACGCGATGCCCAGACGGCCACGCGCGCGACTGGAAGCAAGCCGAAGGATCGCCGGCAATATAGCAAGAGTGGTGAACACTGTTCATCAATATTACAGAATTGCCATCCAGTTTAAAATCCAAATTACTCCCAAATTTGTATAACAACTCAAAAATCTCCAAAAATAAAAGTTGTTCAAAATCAAAAGTTCTACAACTTTGCTTTTATAACCAACCCCTAATTCGGTCTACATTTTGAAATAAACTTTTGAATTCAAATAGGGGACATTTAAGAAATTTCGCCTTTTGAAATAACTTCAAATTTTACTAAACAACTTGAAAAACTCCAAAAACAAACTTTGTACAACTCAACAAGCCCTACAACTTTGCTTTAAGACTCAACCCCAAAATGTGTTTCGATTTTGAAATGAGTTTTCAGGGTAGGATTTAAATATTGAAAATCAGGGTTTTGGGAATTTCAAATCAATACAAAGATTTCAAACTTGATTCAAACAATACCAAGCAATACTTATAACATAAATGTAAACTTGTTTTAGTGAATGCATATCAAAGTTTGCAATAAAACTAATACCTTGCAATGTATATGATGATATGTCCAGTTTTTAATACTTAAACACCTGGGGTGTTACAACGGCTCGGCCCCTCTATTTTTATCGGAAAGATAATCGCAAAGACAAGTGTAAAATCAGTTTTTTTCAGCGATTTTAGTGCATAGACAAGTGTATAGGTGTATTTGCACCAGGAAGAATCCGGAAGCGTGTGTTGCCATCCGAACTAGGGCCTGTTTAGTTGCTCCAAAATCCAGAATTTGGCACTATGCAAAAAGAAGATTCCCCGTCACATCAAACTTGCGGTACATGCATGGAGTATTAAATGTTGACGAAATCAAAAACTAATTGCACAGTTTGGTTGTACTTTGCGAGACGAACGTTTTAAGCCTAATTAGTCAACAATTGGACAATTGTTACCCAATAAAAACAAAACGACACTGTAGCAACAGTGTTGCTACAGTGATCCAGGCGGCGCCGAACCGGCGGAACTAAACAAGGGCCTAGCAGAAAACTGATATTGTGGATCGACTAGACCGTGCAAGAACGCGCTAGTAGCGATCAATTTATCCTAACAGACTCTTATATTACTTGTTGCCCGTCCTTTTTCCAAAACTTAGATAGAAACGTGTATTGCCACGCGACCCCACCTTACACTCCACAGCATCAACACGTGCATAAACGGATTAGTTTTTTTTTTTTGACGTCGTCGTTGTGTAATCGGGTGATACGGAGTACTCCGTACGTGCGGCCCAAGTCTATGGATGCTTATCCTTTTGGCCTCCGGTCAATGCCTTGCCTCAGGTCGTGAAATTGCAATGACGCTGATTTTCGAAGACCCATTTTTTTTTCTACAAAAGTGTGACTGCACATTAGAGGAGTGTTAGAGCATCATCTCCGAGAGCTCATCCTCTAGATCATGAATCATTAAAGCCGATATTGCCGATATTGATGATTGATGGTTCATCAATAATTAACTGACTACGTCCTGCAGATTGCCAATATCGGCTTGCGTCACACGGCGCACGCTACTGGCAAGCTTCCGTGGAAGTCAAGTCACTTGTAGTACAAGCAAAGTAGGGAAAGAACTAGCGGAGAAACTTCACGGATCCATGGTTACGGACTCATGGTTCATGGGATGGGTCTCCATCGTCGTCGCTATGTGTTGATGCTGTGGAGTGTAAGGTGGGGTCGCGTGGCAATACACCTTTCTATCTAAGTTTTGGAAAAAGGACGGGCAACAAGTAATATAAGAGTCTGTTAGGATAAATTGATCGCTACTAGCGCGTTCTTGCACGGTCTAGTCGATCCACAATATCAGTTTTCTGCTAGGCCCTTGTTTAGTTCCGCCGGTTCGGCGCCGCCCGGATCACTGTAGCAACACTGTTGCTACAGTGTCGTTTTGTTTTTATTGGGTAACAATTGTCCAATTGTTGACTAATTAGGCTTAAAACGTTCGTCTCGCAAAGTACAACCAAACTGTGCAATTAGTTTTTGATTTCGTCAACATTTAATACTCCATGCATGTACCGCAAGTTTGATGTGACGGGGAATCTTCTTTTTGCATAGTGCCAAATTCTGGATTTTGGAGCAACTAAACAGGCCCTAGTTCGGATGGCAACACACGCTTCCGGATTCTTCCTGGTGCAAATACACCGATACATTTTTCTATGCACTAAAATCGCTGCCAAAAAACTGATTTTAAACATAGGGGAAAAACACCTATTTAAGGGAAGACAATCGCAAAGACGAGCTGATCCTCGACCGGACCCTTGCTACGGGTAGGGGCTTGAGGAAAATTGGACTCGCACGAAGGTCGATCGCACGGCCACAGAACGACAGGCCCCCGTAGTGGTCGAAATCAAGAAAAACCTTTTTCGACCCACCAAATCTCACGGCTATACCCCCGAGTAGTTCTATCTCGACGAAAGGGAATCACCGTCCCCAGGTCACGCCGTGGGCGACAAAAGAAGCCCAAGTCCCCCAGAGACTTCCCGTTTGAAAAAGCCTTCGGAGAAGTATTCTACTCCTCCGCAAGCACGGGGCTACTGTCGGGGATCAATACTAGGGTATCCGAAGAGGAGAGGCTAATGGTCGTCAACATTAATTCATCCGAGCAGTTAAAAGCGCGACTACGGCTCCAACCGGTCCCTAGGTGTGCGGGCTCCGCCTCGACCGACCTCTGGGGAGCCCCTGGGGGCGGGCTCCGCCTCGCCTGACCCCAAGGTCACGGCCTCCGTCTCGCCCGACCTTTAGGGGGCGGGCTCCACCTCGCCCGACCCTGAGGCCACGGGCTCCGCCTCGTCCGACCTCTGGGGGCGGGCTCCGCCTCGCCCGACATCGAGGCCGGAAGCTCTGCCTCGCCCGACCTCTGGGGGGTGGGCTCAGCCTCGCCCGACCCCAAGGCCGCGGGCTTCGTCTCGCCCGACCTCTGGGGGCGGACTCCGCCTGGCCCGACACCGAGTCCGCGGGCTCTGCCTCGCCTGACCCCGAGGCGGTGGGCTCCGCCTCGCCCGACACCAAGGCCGCGGGCTCCGCCTCGTCCGACGGGGTCCCATACCGCCGCCAGCCACTCCAGGTCCAGGCGTATGGGCCTGGGTCAAAACTCTGACACCAAGGAAGAGACCGGTATGCCCCGATGTAACCCGTGGCCATGACAGGCCATGCCTGATGATTCACATCAAGAACAGCGTCGGGCGTACCGATGTTGTTCTGCCTAAACCCCGTACGAACACAGACAGGCGCGTCAGCTCACCACGACGTCCGCTGGGACAGAATGGAATGCCATGACCGGCAGACGACGCCTGCGCATGGCGGCAGTGGCGGATAGGGCCACGATGTGGAGCTGTCCCTATTGATATCTACAGAGTCGGCGGGACCCGCATGAAGGATAAGAAGGACCCGGCGATCCTGAAGGACCTCCTCTCTCTCTCATTCTTATCTTTTCCTCCACTGTAACCCGTGCTTTTCCTTGGCCTATAAAAGAGAAAGCAAGGCGTCCCATGAGAGGGATCGACCCATTGAGGACCGATCTGATCCGACCTCGAACCGATTAGATCTAGACACACACAAGAGTAGCAACCAAGCTCTCAGCACCCTTTCACTCCTTTCACTAGAGACTTGGGATCTGTCCCTCTCTCGTCCATTTGTAACCCCTACTATAAACTTTTGGTGCTAGTAACATTAGCAGCAGCGACGAACTGGACGTAGGGACATTCTGTCCGAACAAGTATAAACCTTGTGTCCTCTAAGCACATCATCCGAGCCAGACGCGCAATATTAGAAATTTACTCGTCGGTGGTGACTCGAAACACCGACACTTACTTTGTAAGGTTGTTGAACTTTTTTTTGGACTTTCCATTTCTAAAGCTAATCCTCACTATAAATCATTGTTTGTCTAAATGGTCGTTTAGCCCGTTTACACGGGGTTTAACACACTCCGTTTCTATTTAATCGGTTGTTTTGACCGTTTAAACGGCCGTTTTGCCCGTTTAAACGGCAGGTGACCGACGGTTTACCGTTTAGCATTTAGGATAACATTGCTATAAATCTATTTCAACATGGAAGACATGACATCATCCTCTACCGACTAACCATGCATCATCTTGCACTAATAACCGTATCATCTTACTAATTGGAACCTTTTTAATTGTAAACTATCAACATCATCTATACTTAATTTCATTCAAAATTCTTCAGAATCTCTACAAGTTTACAACGACGCGCGGGGCATATCTTATACTATATACACACACACAGCACGCATCTGCTCGATCAATGCGACTGGATACGTAGAGGAGTAGGAGAGCTCACTCGGCTATAGAGGTGATCTAAATGTTGGGCGACTCAACGCTTGAGGATCTCGGCAATGGCGGTGTCATCGCTGCGGCCGTGCTTGCCGTCCTGCTGGTGGCGCTCAGCACGTACGGCCGTCGTTTGTGCCGGCACCCGGCAGTCCGCTTCTTCGTGTGGGGTGCCTCCATGGTATTCCTGCCGCTCTCCTCCGCCATCCTCTCCGCCCTACTGAGCAGGGTCCAGGAGTCCAAGCACGAGAACCCTAACTCCCCTACCGGTCGTCGCAACCCCGACGTCCAGAACATGTGGACGCTCCTCCTGTGGCTCGTGCTCATCCTCACCCTCAAGTGCAACGCGAACATGGCCGCGACGGCAGTCACCGCTGCGGCCTCCTCGCCTGCGGAGGGTGACGCTGGCGTCGACGGCTACAGCATCAGGCCCCCCGTGGAGAACCTCGCGGCGTACGCCTGGCTGGCCTACCTTATCTGGCTCTGCGTTCCGGTGGCGGTATGGCTGGGCCATCTCAACAAAGCCATCTTCTTCCTGTTCAGCGCGCTTGGTCTCGCCAAGCTGGCGCTCAAGCTGGCTGCCTTCTACAGCGCGAGCGGCTCGTTCGCGCTGGGTAAGAACGCGCGCCTGATCGCCGGCTACATGGAGCAGCTCGTCGCCGACGGTGGCCTGGAACAAGTGCCGCGCTACATAGTGATGGGAGAGAAGAAGAAGCACGTCGAGGAGAGCCCTCGGGGATACCGCGTAAAGCGCGACGCCCTGCAGGACAAGTTCAGCGGCCTTGTCACACTGGACCGCGTGTGGCGGCTGGCTGAGCACGGGGATGGCGTCCTCGCCGAGAGGGTGGAGCTCAGGGACCTCTGCCTCTCCTACTCGCTCTTCAAGATCCTGCGGCGGCGGCTGTCAGGGTACCCTCTGGCCGACGCTGGGTCCGTTGAGACGCTTAGCTTCGTGCTCAGAGGCATGGACAGCGCCGGCACGGGCGGCGCGATCAACGCCGACAGGGTGTTCCGTGTCCTCGTGGACGAGCTCTGGTTTGCAAGTGATTTCTACTACTCTCCCATCCCGTTGTGCATCTTCGGCGGATGGTGCGCCGCGCTCAACTACATCTGTTCCGTCCTAATCATCGTCGGAGCCGTCGCTGTGGGATGGATTTATCAGGTCAAGGGTGTGATACACTACACGTCGTATAAGGTCATCACTTACTTCCTCCTACTCACCGTCGTGCTCGTCGAGGCATGGGAGATCGTCGCCAGCGTATGCTCCAACTGGACAAAGATGGCGCTGCTCGGCCACTACATAAGGCACCAGTCGCTGTGGCGCCGATCCAGCTGCTTCCACGTGGCGCTCACTGCGGTGCTGCACCTCAGGCTGGCGACGCGTTGGCAGGACAAGCTCTGACAGAACTCGGTGCTGGAGCCTCGCCGCTTCCGCAGGCGGACCGGGCTTCTCTCGGAGCTACTCTACGGCAGTTCGGGGCTCATGAAGTCCCTTCCGGTGTCGCCGTTAGTCAGGGACGCGGTGCTCCGGTCACTCCTGAGCAGCTACGGGGACGGGGCGAGCCAAGACAGTGCAGCGGCACGCCGAGTCGGTGGCAAGGTGGACTGGGCGATGTACGGCTCCCACAAGAGCTGGGCGTGGGACGCTGACGGGAGCAGCAACACGGAACTGATCCTCGTGTGGCACGTCGGCACGAGGCTCTTAGAGATGAAGTCGACGTCAGCATCGCCGGATATGATCGCCGCCTGCCACCTCTCCTACTACTGCGCCTACCTGGTAGCGGTGGCGCCGGAGCTGCTGCCGGACTCCGCGGCTTGGACCAGGAGACGGTACAAGGAAGTGTCCGACGACGTGCGCGCCGCGCTTGGTGCGGATGGCGGCGGTGGCGGCACCGAGTCAACCGCGGAGAGGTATGAACGGCTATTGGCGGAGCTGAGCAAGGACTCGCGGGACACGGTGCTGCGGCGGGGCGCGGAGCTCGGCCGGCACCTGGTGGAAGAGTACGCCGAGGACGAGGCGTCGGCCTGCAGGATCCTGGCCGACTTCTGGGCGGAGATGCTGCTCTTCGTGGCGCCGTCGGAGAATGTCAAGGGCCACGTCCAGGCCATGGCGCGCGGCGGCGAGTTTATCACGCTCGTCTGGGTGTTGCTTCTCCACGCTGGCGTCACCACAAGGCCTAACACCACGCCGGGCGGTGCTATCCCGTAATCAGTGGAGGTGAAGCATGTATATCGTAGTACAAGTACGGTAGCAAACTCGTGGCCTTTTACCTTTGTGCCTCTATGTTTTTAATTTAAGGAATGCATACTCATAAAACTATAGCTCGTCATATTACCTGTGTATATTTCTATGCAAACTGCAACCTCCGTCCTGAAATGTAATGGGTATTGAGTTGTCCTACCTCCTAAGTAAAAATATTGTAAGTTTAAATAAAGTTATAAAAATAATATATACGAAATATATTTTTATAATATCATAAATATTGATACTATTCTTCATAAACTTGTTCAAATTAATATTAGTTTAACTTAGGATAAACTCATCCTTTATATTTCAGGACCAAGAACCAAGGTACTAGTAGTACTTGCTTTTGCATAGGTTGATTCGGTCTGTACAGCCATTAAATGAGGGCCACCAAAGTCTTGACCTTGTGGCATAAGCTGTCCTAAAAATCTTAGAGATGCTACATTTTATGGGTGGAGAGAGTAGTATATAATAAGGAGTTAGGCTGATGGATGACAAATTGCAAGTGGTGATGAACTTGGGAAGCATAACATCTCAAACAATCATCTATGTACAAAAGATGGCCGAAGATCTAAATGGCTTGGGGGGGGTTGGTTGGGGCCGAGAGGAATTAATTGAACTTGTCCAATCAGTTTGTGTTTCTTCAGAAGCTAAGATATGAAGATGGATGAACTCAACATTTCAGAGTTTAAGATGTGAAGATCTTCAGAACCTTTACTCAGAGTTCAGAGCAGGACCGAATTATGATATGCATTTTTGTTAAATATACCTCAGTGGAAATCCTGACAAGTAGTCTAGCAAAGGTTTTAGCATTCCTAATGTTTGAGTGAGCTAGTGAGTTCAGTGAAAAGACCACCAAAATAAATTGATAGTATAGCCTTCTACCGAGTTATTTGGCCTTGGATCAAACATGACATATGCAAGCTGGTCAGAGATTTTTACACATTAGGTAACCCCTAAATTGCACTGATATTGTTTTGATTCCTAAAAAGGCCAATTCAATTCATGTCATTGACTAATGGCTCATTAGTCTTACAAAAATGCTTTTTGAGGAAACAGGAGGGGAAACCCCCTCTACTGAGCTCATTTTATAAATTTAGTCTGTACATAAGGTAAAGGAACTGTACAAGAAAGGTAAACTAAAACAAAGACAACTAGTCCTTAAGAAGATATTTCTTTGAGGACTTACACCTAAGAATAGTAAAGATCTAACTCTCCATGGAGACTACGCTTCCAGAAGCCAAGTGATAGTGACTTGCCATAAAAATAATGTTGTTTCTCGACATCCAGATGCACCAAGCAATCACAATGACTATTTCCATGAAGATAGTAGCCCCAAACGAGCACCGAACTAGGTGCATCATATCAAAGATGTTGACACATTTCTATTCCAAGCGATGCCAACTAGCCGCCAACACCAAGCACTAAAAGAGCAATTGAAGAAAATATGTTCAACTATTTCTTCAACACCAGCATTGCAAAAGGACACAATGATATGTATGCAGTGAAAAGCTCTTCCGACGAAGTAAGTTTCATGTGTTGTGTCGGTCCAAAAGAAGCAACCAGAAGAAAAATTTATGTTTACCTCTACAACTACTTATCCAAATCCAAACAAACTGTTTAGGTGCTGGTAAGGTACACATGATAGTAGAGTAGGCTTGTTTCCAAGAAAAGGAAGGCCCCCAAATATAGCAACATTTATCTTCTTCTAGATTCTGCAGTTAGAGCATGGCCAAAATTCCAGCAAGAACAACTAACTTCCCCAAAGCAACCACAGAGTGGGGTAGTAGAAAGTTATTGGTGATACTTTGAGCTGTAAAGGCAGCAAGTGAAAGATTCTGATCGTTGGAAAAAAAGTAAAGCTGTGGAAATTCTATATTCAGAAGCCCAAGTTCCACATATCATCCCAAAAGCTCACCGTGCGTCGATTACCCACCGAACATGAGTCCATACCTCTGAAGTCCTTCGACAAGCTCATAACATCTTGCCACCAAAAATAACCCACTAGTCACTTGACATGAGGGGGAACTAGGTTAGAGTTAGAAACCCGACCAAGTTAGCTGCACCCACGGTGTATCAAAACTATTGTATAATTTGTCTGCAAAGTTTAGTAGAAGAGATTTGTTCTGTGCTTTGAGATTGATAATACCCATGCCACCTTTTGCTTTAGACCGACAAGCCTTTGTGCAATCCACAAGACATTTCGCCCATCCCAGAGGCAGTGCTTGCGAAAACCATCAATCTGCTTCACATGACTTTCTTGGGGAAATGCAAAGTACTTAACCATTACACTGGCAAAAAGATATTAACAAATTTACCAAAATTAGTCATCCATAATAAGATAGGTGACTGGTGATACCAGCCAAGCGCCTCTCAATCCGACAAACCAGTGGGAGAAAATCAGTCACTGAAGGCCGAGTGTTGGCCGGTGTTGGGCAATGTTGCCAGAGCTGGCTCAATGCTATACTAGAATCTACTCCCTCAGCACTATAAAAAAAGTCGCTATGGCGTGTTGGTGAAAGTTTCTTAAATTTGACTAGATTTATATAAAATATTAGCAACATTTGTATCTTTAAATAAGTTTATTATGAGAATATATTCAACAATCTACTATTTATGTACCAAATATATTAATATATTTGATCACAATTAAAAATGTTTGATTTATCGGAAAGTGAAAATGATACTTTTTATGGGACGGAGGGAGTAGGCCATTAGTCTCTCAAACTTATTCTTGTGGCACTAGCTACTGCTACAAAGTGGAAGAAACTGCTCAATACTTAAGATTAGAAGAGAGACAAACACAGGTAAGACATGCAAGATTGACTTTATTCTTATTAAGCTTCAGCATATTCGCCAAACTGTACTATCCGTATAAATTTACAGAACCATGAAGGGGATCATTATGTACTTATGTCCCATTTCTGTACTTTGCTTTTAATGAATGAATAATGATAGAGTTTACTATTTCCTTTAAGGACAATTTGGATCCCTTTATTTTGAGGGATTTTAAGTATGAAAATATGTGGAGAAGGGAGCCTTCCTACGTGCGTTTGGCGAAAGATACCTGGGGAGATGTGAGCTCTATCCAGGACATGCAACAACTGCATAGCTCATTAGGGAGGATGCATGAGCTCGTCCTTCCTGGAGTGGGAGCAGTGGGTCTTTGGCTCGGTCAAGCAAGAGATGGCTAAGCTGCGCTGCGATCTGGAGAATGAAAGGCATCACTCTCTCTTTTCTGGCCCATCTAGGCAGGAGAGACAGATCATGACCCGGATGTCCGAACTCTTAGCGAGAGAGGAGATTACGGCGAAGCAGCGTGCGCGGACAACCTGGTTAAAAGAAGGTGATCGGAACACCAAGTTCTTCTAGGCGCGTGCGCGGGAGCGTGCCAAGGTCAACCAAATCTCGGCCCTGTGTGCTCCTAATGGTGATCTGGTGACGGGTCAAGCAGAATTGGAGACCTTGGCCTCAACGTTTTTTGACCTTGTGGCACGGTCTTGGAGCCGCACGGGATACTGGCTCATGTGTCACCACGGGTAACAGAGTGCGATGAATGAATCTTGGAAAACCCCTACACACGTCAAGAAGTGGAGAGGGCGCTGTCCATGATGGGAGCAAATAAGGCTCCCGGTCCCGATGGTTTCACGGCGGGCTTCTATCAAACACACTGGGATACTGTTGGCCCGAGTGTCACCAATGCGGTTCTGAATTTTTTAAATGCCGGGCACCTACCGGAGGCCATCAACCAGACAACGATTGTTGTGATTCCAAAGGTAAGCACCCGCAGGACCTCAAGAATTTCAGACCAATTTCACTTTGCAATGTGATTTATAAATTGCGCTCTAAAGTGCTTGCCAATAGATTGCGTTCCTTTCTGGATGAGATCATTTCTTCAGAACTGAGTGCATTTGTTCCCGGTCGTTTAATTACAGATAATGTGCTGGTCGCCTATGAGTGCACCCATTACCTCAAGAGGAAAAAGGGGAAATCCGGTGCTTGTGCAATTAAGCTAGACTTGGCGAAGGCCTATGATAGAGTGGAATGGAATTATCTTCAAGGTATAATGTTGAGATTGGGCTTCACCGAGAGTTTTGTCCATACTATCATGAGATGTGTTACCTCGGTTTCTTTTTCAGTCTGGGTGAATGGGAAACTTTCAAACCCCTTCATGCCGTCGAGAGGAATCCAACAAGGGGACCCAATTTCCCCATACCTCTTTCTGCTTTGCGCTGAAGGACTCTCTAGCCTGCTGCGGTCAGTTGGTCCGGTGCATCTTTCCAGGGGTGTGCGGGTTGGGATTCATGCGCCATGGATTTCACATCTCCTTTTTGCTGATGACTGCATAGTGTTCTCTGAAGCCTCCAGAGAGGCGCTGAGCGGCTGCATGAGATCTTGGAGATTTATAGCAGGGGCTCGGGGCAGATGGTTAACAGAGACAAGTCAGCAGTCCTTTTTAGTGCTAACTGTGATGATACTTGCAAGAAAGAGGTGAGATCAGTTCTCCATATTGATACAGAAGCACTAGCGGAAAAATACTTGGGCCTTCCCACTGCTTTAGGGCGGGCGACGAAGGACACCTTTGAATTCATGCCAACCAGGATCAGAAATCTGGTGGGGACTTGGAGAGGCCGTGAAGCAAGTTGTGCAGGGAGGGAGGTGCTACTTAAATCTGTTGCCCAAGCTGTACCAACCCACCCTATGAGTTGCTTCTTGCCGCAAGATGAAATAGGTAATCTTGAATTATTGGTGGGGCAGCTAGGTGGATAGCAGACGCATACATTCAGTCTGTTCGGTTGGCTGGTTGGTATCGTTGCTGGTTCGTTTATGTGAGAGAGAAGTACTGCTGGTTGGTTCACGTGAACAGTGCTTATGTGAGAGGGCTGGCCAGCCAGCCCAGCCAGCCGCTCCTAGCCAATCAGGCTGATTGGCAACACTGGGAGCTCCTGACAAAACCTAAAGTT